GGGGGGGGGGGGGGGGGCGGATCGAGAATCAACGCGGCGGCCGGACAAGGTCGGCCAGATCGATGTGGCCGGCCAGATCGGCAATGTCGGCAGCGGTCTCGTCATGAATGTTGGTGATGGCTGGCGAGGCGCCGGCGGCAAGGAGCGCGGTGGCTGCAGCGGTGGCGCCGGAACGGGCGGCAGCCATGAGCGGAGTAAAGCCAAAGGTCGGCTCGACGGCGTCGACGTCAGCGCCTGCGGCAAGGAGCACAGTGATGGCATCGAGCGCGTTGGCTTGCGCCGCAAAGTGCAGTGGACGCCCGCCATCGGAAAACTCGGCCTGCCCCGGCGCCGGAGTCGAGAGCGCGTCGCGGGCGGCTGGAAAGTAGCTGAGAAGCTTTGTGAGGAGCGTGTCGGCATCGGCTGATGCCGCACAGTGGACAAGGTTCGCACCGTCGTCGTCGAGAGTCCCAAAGACGGCATCGCGGCGTGCCGTCATGGCCGCCTCCAGCTCGGCAGACTCGACTCCGAGCGCGTCAAGAGAGGCGAGGGCGAGCGAGCAGCCGTCAAGGTGGAAGCCTGCGAGCGCGGAGTCTAGCGCGGCGTCGACGGCGACGCGATCGACAGCAACACCGTCGATGGCAGCGACGAGCTGGTCGCGAACAGCAGTAAAAGCGGAGGGCGAGCTTGCCGAGTACGAGGCGAGTGCGCCAAAGACGTCACACGGTGGGAAGAGTGGCCAAAGCGGTGCGAGCTGGGCGCCGGCGTTGAGCAGAAAGTGGAAACGCGGGAGCGCACCGGCGCGCAGGGCGGCGGCGAGCGGGGTCTCGCCGGCGGCGTCGCGCACTTCCAGCGCGGCGCCACGGTCGAGCAGCCATTGGGCGAGCTCGATGGTAGCGGTGGCGTTGTGGAGCGCGGTGCGGCCGGCAGCGTCAACGGCGTTGACGTCGGCGCCGGCGTCGCCCAGACAGGCGGCAGTGCCGAGGTAGAGACCGAGCGCGCGTTCGATTCCGACCACCATCAGCGGAGTCGCGCCGTTGGCGTCCCGGATGTTGGGCGAGGCGTGGGCGAGGTAGCGCGAGAGCACACTGTCGTGCCCGAGCCGCGCTGCAGCGTGGAGTGGCGTCTCGCCGGCGGCGTTGACGGTGGCGAGCAGGTCGGCGGCGAGCGAAGGATCCGCGGCGGCGAGCAGCATGTCAGCCATGTCCGACGAGCCCTGGCGGGCAAGCTTGTGGAACACGTTGTCGCCAACCTTGTTGACCACAGCAAGGAGCGGTGCGAGCGCGGCTGGCGAGTCAGCGGCGGCGAGGACGAGCTTCAGCGCAGCGAGCGCCTTGGCGGCGCGCCGGCGGCCTGTGACGGCAGCGAGCTTGAGCAGCAGCGAGTTTCCGAGCGTATTGGTTGCGCCCAGTTCGGCACCGTGCTCCATAAAGTACCTGATGAGCGGGGCGTGGCCATGAAGCGCCGCCATGAGCAGTGGCGTGTTACCGGACGCATCCTCGACATCAAGCGGGGCGCCCGCAGCGAGCAGAGCCTCGACCACTGCTACAGGCTTGCGGTAACGGCAGGCGTAGAGCATGGCCTGGGCAAGATCTTCCGGAGCCGGAGGCACTTCAGCCGGCACCGCGAGCAGCGCCGCCACCACATCGCCCGCTGGGAGGAGGACAGCCTCCTCGATGAGCGAGCGGAGGACCTCGCGCGGCGGGAGCGGGGCGCCGGTCACGGCCGCCAACGCCGCCTCACACCCGCTCGGCAGAGCCAGCCACGGCAAGCAGCCATCCGCCACCAGCTCTACCACCAAAGCTACCGTCTTCTCGGACGATGCAGCAGAACGGACGGCATACAAGGCGGCAGTAGCCAGGTCAAGCACGGGCGGACGGGCGTCACCAACCCCGACCAAAGGCACGGCCGTACCATCACGAAGCGCATGGACAGTCTCTGTCAGCCAGAGTGAAGCCATGGAGTGAGTGCGAGTGAGGTAGCAACCTCACCCGCCCACGCCCACGCATACCCACTGGCACTCGTACCACGACACGGACTGTGTCGGTCATGTCGCTCCGCCCACCGCCCGCCGCCCGCCGTCCGCCGCACGCCGCCCGCCGCCCGCCGTCCGCCGCCCGCCCGCCCTGCCCTGCGTCGACCCGCTTGGCCTCTCGCTGGCCTCTGGCCACTCGCGGCACCACTCATCGCCATCTCACCATGTCGCATCTTACCACGGTGATGGCACCGTACCTGGACAAGCATCTGGTGCTTGTTCTGCTTGACTTTCTGGCCAAGCAGGAGGTAGGTGGTGTCGAGGTGTAGGGAGGGAGCACACGGGGTTGTGTATGCCTACCGCTGCGTTCCATTTTTTGATGAGAGGCGAGCTCGGCTCCCATCCCACACCCGTCGGGGGGGAGGGGGGAAGGGGGTGGGGGAGGGGGAGGGAGGACGAGGGGGAGAATGAAGGAGGACAACATGCATAGACAGGGAAAAAGAGGGGGGGGGAGGAGGGGGTACATGCTTGGGCTTACGGAGCGTGTGTGCGGCGGGTGTAGGAGAACCAGCAGGAGCTCGACGAGGTCCGGCTGGAGATCATCGCCAAGACCAACATGGTCGATTACGCAGTCTCTGTGCATGAGGCGCTGCACCCAGGTGCGGCTGCGCCGGAGGAGCTTGTGGCGTCGCGGGAGAAGGTTGTTGCGGAGCTGAAGGCGCTCAAGGAGGCAGCAGGCCCGTTGTTGGAGGTGCTCGGTGACGAGGAGGCGCTCAAGGCTATGGAGGAGAACGGGCGGTACTCGCGCGAGGGCATGCTCGAGGTGGAGGGCGTGAGCGCGGAGACGATTGACGCACTCAACGACTACGCCAAGTGTCTGTACGAGTGCGGCAAGTACGAGGCTGCGGCGTCGTACCTGGCGCACTACATCAAGCTCGCCGGCGACGAGGCCAAGACGACGGCGGCCATGTGGGGCAAGCTGGCGTCGGAGATTCTGGCCGCTGCCGACTGGGAGGCTGCATACGACGACCTTCTTGCGCTCAAGGACGTGATCGACCCGCCGACGGGCGAGCGCGGGCGGCGCCGGCGCGGCGACGCGGTGACCAACGAGGCCGCGTCGCTCAAGCTGCAGCAGCGGACGTGGCTCATTCACTGGTCGCTCTTTGTCTTTTTCAACCACCCGGAGGGCCGCAACGGAATCATCGACTTTCTGCTCGAGGACGCGTACCTCAACACCATCCAGACCTCGTGCCCGCACATCCTGCGCTACCTCACCACCGCGGTGGTGACCAACAAGCGCCGCCGCAACGTGCTCAAGACTCTCGTCACCGTCATCCAGCAGGAGTCGTACTCGTACTCGGACCCCATCACTGAGTTTGTCTGCTCGCTCTACGTCGACTTTGACTTTGATCTGGCCCGCGCCAAGCTCCACGCCTGCGAGGACGTCCTCCGCTCCGACTTTTTCCTCGTCGCATGCTTTGACGACTTTCTGGCCAACGCCCGGCTGTTCATCTTTGAGACCTACTGCCGCATCCACCAGAACATCGATCTCTCCATGCTGGCCGACAAGCTCGACATGGACCGCGACCAGGCCGAGAAGTGGATCGTCAACCTCGTCCGGAACGCCAACATCGACGCCAAGATCGACTCGGCTGCCGACCAGGTCGTCATGGGCAACCAGCAGCACCCGTCCATCTACTCGCAGATCATCGAGAAGACCAAGGGCCTCTCGCTCCGCTCCTCCGTCCTCTCCAACAACTGCGATCGCCTTGTGCGCGAGTAAACATGGGCCTCGATGAGGGTTCACTCAATCACACCCTTCTCTTATCCGCCATGTTCTCCAATCAACAGCCACAACCAGTGTCAGTTGGCGCGGCGAAACTAAAAGCGAGGTCACATGTTCCGTCTGCCGGCATCGTCGGCCAGACCAGCTTGTCACGCACCTTTGCGATCATCCACGCCCGGCAAGCTAAAACTCGGTTACGTACGAGGCGCTGCATAGCAAAGGCGTGGATGCGTGTGCCACGTGTAGGGTAGGGCCCGGCCACAAACCAACAGCATCTGCGGTTTGGCTGACTCTGGGCCAGCAGGGCCAGCAACGGGAGAGAGCGAGTAATACACGTTGCGGGCTGACCGCACGGCTTTCCACCTGACTTTCCGAGTGCACGCCATCCACCCGCGCACACACCACACTCATCCACAACCGGTGAAGGACATAAAGAGCCCATCAAGAGGCGATTGCACCACATCGTACGTCCTTGAGTTCCGGGGTACCATGCTAGCGTATTTTCCCATTCCTGCGCAGCTGTACATGGCTACATGTGTACCGGGAGATGGTTTGTTCGGCTGCGGGTAATGCGCGCCATAGCGGGTTATTGGCCAGGAGCGGGCGAAAATTCATGAATCGCCGCATACCCGTTACTGCGTGTGTTCGTTTCGAAGGTTGCAACTGGCCAAACTTGGCTCAATTCGAATCTACGCGCGCAACACATGTATGTCCCTCGAGTGTCTATCCAGCGGTAGCTCCTCCCCAAGGCGAGTCTACCCCGCTAGCAACGTTGCCCACGGGGTGGCGGGAGGCGGGAGCCATTTATGTTCAGAGCTCTGGCTCGTATGCTGCTAGCCACCTGACCTCAGGGGCCGTCGTCAGGCGCGCTTCAATCAATCCGCATCCCACTGCAGACAAATTGGGTCGCTCAACCAGGCCATGCTCAAGGCGGGAAGGCGGCAAAGTGGCGATGGCCAAGCTTGTCAACGGCCGAGAGTGGCCCTTTCACCTACCACTGTTGCCCCCCCCCTTGTTTTAGCGCTATGCCCGACCGCCCCGGTGGCCACGTGGCCCACCTGCTCCGCAGGTGCACATGCCGCTCACGAAGCCATGCACTGGCTAGCCGATATTGGACAGGCAGGATTTTGCCACGTGGGTTAGACTCATATTTTGCAACCACGTGCGCTCCACCGCCGGGCCCATTCCTCCACCACTCACCTCCACCACCTCCTCCACCTCCTCCACCACCCAGCAGCTGTCCAGTTTGCTCTTTGGCTCCTTCCAACAGATTAGGCGGTGAGAAAGGCTCGATAGCAAGAAGCACCTGACGAGGCCACAAGAAGCTGACACTCGGATTCATTTTTTTTTGGGAGCCCCACACCCCCCCGCCACAAGCACCACTTTATCAACCGTATCTTCATGGCCACCCGTGCGCTGAGCGCTGTGCGCCAGACTGAGGTGAGCGAGATGAACCTGGGCGCTGCGAGCAAGGGCAAGGCCGCTGAGGGCATGCCTGCTGCTGCAGCCTCCAAGAAGCGGCGGTGGGAGGCCGTCGAGGGAAAGAGCGCGCCGTCGAGCGGATCCGACATGCCGGTGCCGTCGACGCGCGGCTCGCAGCGGCCGCGCAAGCGGTCGAAAACGTCTACGGCGCAGCCCAAGTCGCGGTCGCGGGCCAAGAAGCCGGTGGTGACCGACCAGGCCGTCGCCGACCTGGTGGCCAACACCATTGTGCCGTCTGTGGTGCGCGAGCTCAAGGGCCTTCGCATCAACGGCTCGCAGGTGACGTGCTGGGTCGACAAGCGGCGCGGCAACACCGGAAAGCACCTTCTCCGCGAGAACGTGTTCTACTGGCAGGTGCAGGCCAATCGGCGCCACGTGTTCTCGGGCTGGCACTCGCCGGACGAGGTGGTGGCGCGGGTTCGGTCTGTGGTTGCCGACCACGAGGCCAATGGCGGAACGCAGACTCCGCGGTCGGGGCGGTCGTCGGCGGCATCGTCACGGGCCGGCTCACCGTTCTCGCGGCCTTCGGGACCGGCAACGCGGGCGCCGTCCAAGCAGCCGACGCCTGGCGGCTCGCCGCGAGCCTCGGCTTCCGGCATGGCCTTTCCGTCGCCGTCGAGCAATCTGCCGCCGGCGTCGCGGCCGTTCCACTCGCTGACCTTTGACTACGACGAGGCCGGCGTGCCTATCATCGAGCCGTACCTCATGCCGCTGCGGTTTGGCGGCGAGCCGCTTGTGGTCTACATCCACAACGAAAAGGGCGAGCACAAGAAGCGCAAGTCGGTGTACTTCTGGACAATCGTGGCCGGCAACACCCGCCTGCTCCACGGATGGTACTCGGCGCGAACGATTGTCAAGCGCATGCGGCTGGCTTGCCGCCAGGGCCCTGGCTCGTACAAGGAGGGCCGCCCGGTCAAGCCACGGCATCTCGGCTCGCTCTACTCGCCGTTGGTCTCGCCGGCCGTCTCGCCGCGCTCCTCGCCGCCGCCGTCGGGCCTCGCTACCTACTCACCGCACGACGCCGCTCGTCTCCGCGACGCTGCGTCGCGGCTGCAGGGTCACGTCGCGTCGCAGCGGTCGCGGCTGTCGGCGCCCACCGCACCGCATCCGCAGGAGCAGCCCTCGCGCGCGCGCCAGCCGGTTCGCCGCCGCATCCGCACCTCGCGCTCGCGGCCGAGCGCTGCTGATCCTCCCGTCGACGCGCTTGCCTACGCCAACCGCTACTACTGGGCGTACATTGCCGACCCGACGGTAGTCCAGGTCGAGGAGGAGGCCGACCAGTCGCCGTACTCGTCCGAGTACGAGTACGTCGAGGCCGAGGTGTTCGACCCGGCGTCGTCTGCTGTCGCTGCCACCGGCGAGCTCTACGACGTCCTGCCCTCGCACGAGCGCGAGCTGATGAAGTCGCAGTTCTGGGCCGCCCTCAAGCCGTCGACGGCGACGTCGGTCGACCCGCGCTCGACGGCCGAGTACGTCGAGTCGCAGGTCAACGCCGCGCTCGCCGCGCACTCGGTTGCCTCGGCTGGTTTTACCGCTCAGCTCGACGTTGCCCGCGGCGTGCACCCGCTCAAGCGCCACACCTACTACTTCCGGGTCTACCTCCGCGACGCGCTCTTTTTCCAGGGCTGGTACCACCCAGGCCAGCTGCTCGACCTCGTCAAGGCTGCCGCTGACAAGCCGGCGACAAAGGCCGTTGCGCCGAGCCTCTCCTCGCCGCCGACAGACTCGCCGGCCGACTCGCCGGTCATTGTCGCTACCCGTGCTGTCGTCTCGTCTGAGCTCGAGTCTGCGCCGCCATCGCCGTCGGTCGAGCTCGCGCCGCCCGTGCCGGCGTCTGAGGCCAGCTCGGACATTGACGACGCGTCGGATGTCGAGGTTGCCGAGATCCAGGCTGCGCTCGTCAACCTGACGATTAACGGCGAGCCGCTGGTGGCCACGCCCGGAGCCGCAACCACCCGCGCCGATGGCCGGCGCCAGTGGTCGCTCTCGCAGCGCGCGCCCGAGGTTGCAGGCTCGGACGTTCTCCTTGCCGGCTGGTTCAATCGTGACATGCTCCTGGCCGCCGCCAACATCCTCGCCGACGAGTCGCCCAACTCGCCCTTCCCGCCCTCTCGCGACCTTCCGGCCTCGATCCAGCCGCACCTGCCGCTGCTCAAGCGTATGGCCGCCGCCCTCGTCGGTGTCGTCTTCCGTGGCTCGCGCGTCGTGCCCTCGATCCGCTTTGCCCGTGGCCTCTACCCCTTTGGCCGCGCCGTCTACCACTGGACCGTCGCCACCGCTAACGCCCACATCACTTCAGGCTGGCTCGCCCTCCCGACTCTCCTCGAGAGGGTCATCGCCGTCCTCGACGTCAACGAGCCCAACAACGACCCGGACTACTTTATCCAGGCTCTTGGGCTCGACTCGCACCCGGCGCCCATGGATGAAGTCTCGGCCTCGCGCAATCCTGTCGCTCTCCTCAAGGCAGCCTTTATGCAGCAATGAGCTGTTGGCATGTCGCCTTGTCGCTTCTTGCGTGACGACCAAGCATCATCCCCCCTTTCCCCTCCCTCACCCAGATCTCCCTAGGTCCCCTTGGACCGAACATCATCACTGCAACCTCTCCTCATCATCATCAAGTCTCCCTACCTTCCACACTTTCTCTCTCTCTCTTTCTCTCTCTCCATAAAGAACAATTCCAATCACACGGTTCCCCTCCCCCCTCCCCCCCCAAACCACTCGCCATGGTTCACCTGTGTGCTGTGTGCCAGGCGAGTCGAGCCGACTCGGGTGAAACAACACCGGCTGCACACCGCTAGTCGCCACACCTGCCTGCTTTCAGCCAACTGTCGGCAGCAAGGACAGGGTACATGTACTCGCCACTTCGGACAGACAACTCACCAGCGTCATGGGCGTCGACTCTGGGCGCACTCAAGGGCGTCGCCGCCCGCAATGAGCAGCTGCGGGCCGCGCTCCGCGCCGCCCACGCCGACAACGCTGCGCTCCGCTCCCAGCTCGCTGCCCGCCCATCGGATCGCTTTGCTCCCGATCCCGCTACCGGCGTTGACGACTCGAGTCCTGCGGTAGAGGCCGATCAAGTAGCGCTGCTTGAGGCCGAGCTCCGCACAGCTCGTGCCGCCGCAGCCGCAGCCACCGCCCGCGCGGCCGCCGCCGAGCGCGCCCTCCAGGCCATCCGGGCCGGGCTCGCTGCGTACCGGACGGCGCGCGGGAAAGCATCAGGTCTGGCGAGTGCTGCTGCCGCTGATAGGCGCACTGCCAGCCTGCAGTCGCCGGCCAACGCACGGAGCTGGTCGATGTCTTCATTCTCCTCGCTCGACTCAGACCTGGAGGCGACGGTGGAGGGCCAGCTGGCGCGGCTATCGCGTCAGCTTGACCGCGCGGGTGCGGCCGGCTCGTCGGCGTCATCGGCGTCGCCGGCGTCGTCGTCGGTCCTGCTGGACGAGAACGAGCCGGACGTCGACCACATCCTCCTCGCCATTGCCCACAAGCGGGCTGCGCTGGAGCAAGCAACGGGCTCAACAAGTAGCAGTGACAGCTCGCATGCGAGCTCGAGCGAATGGCACGCCCTCACTTCCAGCCTGGCGCTCGACGCCGATCTTGCCCGCGGCCTCGCTGCGCTGCAGGGCGGCGGCGGATCCGAGTCAACGCCGACGGCGTCGCTAGAGAGCGTGGTCAGCGGTGGGTGCTCGGAGTCCGACTCGTCGTCATCGATCTGCGACTCGTCGTCTGGCGGCGCGACAGCATCGCGGGTCCGCGGAACGCAGCTGCTGGCGCGGGCGACCAAGGTCGGCCCTCCGCCGGCGGTCGGCACGCCCGACGTGGCAGCCATGGTCGACGTCATGTTTGAGTGAGCACGTCAGCTGGAAGCGGCACCGAGGTCGGACGGCGCGAAGACAGTGATGGCGATGGTCGAGTTGAGCCGCTCGCGGCTTGTCCCGTCGGGCAGGTCATCGACAAGGACGGCAGTGCCGGTGGTGACCGAGAGGGCGAGGGCGGTCTTCCCGCCGTGAGCAGCCTGCGCAGCGAGGGCAACGTCAACGGCCTTGCCCAGCGCCTTGCCCATGCCACGAACGACGGCATAGCCGTACGGCGAGTCGTCGACCAGGGCAAGGACCCGCTTGACCAGCGCCCCCTGCCGACTCCGCGAGGAGACGTACACGTCCCACGGAGCCGTTGGCGGGCGCGCAGGTGTTCGTTTCCGCCCCACACTCGCCGACATGTCCAGGCGTAGACCGAGGAGCGGAGTGGTGCTTGTGCCAGGGGGGGGCGGTGAGGAGGGGGTATGGGTGGGATCGAATGAAGGGGGGAAAGAGGGTAATCGGTGGCCAACGATAATAATCGATGGCCAACGATAATACTCGATGGCCAACGATAATACTCGATGGCCAACGATAATACTCGATGGCCAACGATAATACTCGATGGCCAACGATAATACTCGATGGCCAACGATAATACTCGATGGCCAACGATTATACTCAATAACCACGCGATTATACTCAATAACCACACGATAGTACTCGATGGCCAAGGTCTAATGGCCGCTTGAACCATCGACGGTACACCCGACATACAGCTGCCCATAATCTGCGATGGGTGCAGCACTGCAATAGGCAGGGGTTAGTTGCGGCGGGCCATGGTCGGCCGGGTAGGGGCTGGCCTTGGCTCGCTGTCGTCGGCTGGCAGCCAGTCGGTCGGTCGGTCGGTCGTTCGTTCGCTCGTTCAATTCGTCGTCAATGAGGAGGTTTGTGGGTGAGGGCGGACAAAGTGAGATAACAGAGGCAACACTTGTTCCCAATTCGTCATGCCCCGTCCGAACCGTACGTGTATCCAGAAGAGAAGGAGAAGGGAGAATGTGTGGGGTTGGCACGGGCAAGACAGTGTATGCCATATAGGTGGCGGTGGTCGTTGTCAGTAGCCCTACGGTCGCTGTGGCTTTGGCTGCGTGGCCCGTAGGGGATCCGCTCGGCTTGCGGTATTTTCATCAGCCTCTGCCATCACCCACCGCCAGAGTGCGACCACTTCCTTGCCCACGCCCTCCCCAGCAGCAATGCCACTGGCCTCAGAGGCAAGCAGCATCTATGGGCATGGTGCCTTGTGCGTTGGGCTGTCTCTCTCCGCCTTGCTGCGGTAGGGGAGCCGTCGGCGCGGAGGCTCCGAGCTCGGTTTTTGTATGATTGCCTTTAATTTGTGTGAGGCACCGACTCGGCCGAGCAGGCATGCACACGCCGCGTAGCCTCGCAGGGGCGGCGACGGAGAGCCAGCTCGTGCAGAGAGGAAGACTGGGTGCGAGGCGAGATAGGCAAGCGGCATGCGACTCACCAGGAGCACTCGATGACGCAACCATAGAGTCGAAGACGTACGCGACGCCGCGCCGGCCGTTCGAGAAGGAGCGCCTCGACCACGAGATGCAGATCATCGGCAAGTACGGCCTCAAGAACAAGCGCGAGGTCTGGCGCGCCAAGCTGCAGATTTCCAAGTTCCGTGCCGCCGCGCGTAACCTGCTGACCCTTGACGAGAAGGACCCGAAGCGCATGTTCGAGGGTGAGGCCCTCCTCCGCCGCCTCAAGCTCCTCGGCGTCCTTGACGACGAGCGCAACTCGCTCGACCACGTGCTGTCGCTCACCACTGAGGACCTCCTCGACCGCCGTCTGCAGACCCTTGTCCACCGCTACGGTCTTGCCCGCTCGGTCCACCACGCTCGCATCCTGATCAAGCAGCGCCACATCCGCGTTGGCAAGCAGGTCGTCGACGTGCCGTCGTTCATGGTCCGCATCGACTCGGCCAAGCACATCGCCTTTGACCCGAACTCGCCGTACGTCGGCGGCAAGCCCGGCCGCGTCAAGCGCAAGAACATGGCCAAGAAGTCCAACAACGCCGAGGACGACGAGTAAGCCTCCTGGTAAACAACAAAAATCAAGCCCCGCTCCCTCTCCCTCCCTTTGTTGTCCGCGTAGGCCTCTGCCTGTCCCACGACGAACACGTGCGTGTCTACAGGCCCGCTACCGCCACTCCGCCACCTCGCCTCACACTCTCGCACACTGACCACTCCCACACACCACTACCTCTCCCCCCCCCCCCCTCCCTTCCCCTCCCCACCCCCCCTTCCCCCCCCCCCCCCCCCCCACACACACACACAGCGGAAGACTCGTGCGCTCTTCTGCTCCATGGCCGATGTGCCGCCCGCCGTCTCCCCCACCACCCCCACCACTCCCATCACCACCTCCGACTCACCATCAACACCAAGGACGGACGAGGCCGCACCGCCTAGTGCCGATGCCGATCCGGCTGCTGCCGCAAGGGCTGCAGCGCGCAACGAGCTCGACACGCTCCTCTTTGGCAACTTTCCGGCTAAACTCGACATGGCGGCGCTCGAGCGGACAATCTTCTACGGGGCGCCGTCGAACGGGTATCGGGCGCTGGCGTGGAAGGTCTTTATCGGCTATCTGCCTCCCGAAACCGCGGCGTGGGCCGAGGTGCTTGCAGAGCAGCGTGAGGCTTACTGGGGCTTTGCGCGCGAGTTTGAGCTTGCGCCGCAGCCGCGATGGGCGCCGTCGAGCGGATACGTGGGCGAGCCGGTCGAGTGGCCGCCGCCGCGCAACATCAACCCGGACGACCCCGACTTTGCAGCGCGCGAGATTGCGCGGCGGGTGTTCAACGATGTCGAGCGGACGTGTCCCGAGTCGCCATTCTACCAGGCCGGACCGCCGGATGCCGAGGTGCGCCCGCAGGACCGCAAGCTGCAGCGCATGCTCTATACATATGCGCGGCTCAACCCGGGCATCGGGTACATACAGGGCATGTCCGAGCTGATCGCTGTCCTGTTCTACACCTTTTCCCAGCCGGCGCCACACCTGAGCGAGCCAGCGCCGCATGAGGCGGACGAGCTCTCCCGTCTCCGCCCGTTGCTGGGAGATGATCCCGAGGCCGATGCCTTTTGGTGCCTCACGGAGCTGTTCTCGGCCATCCGCGACTCGTTCAACCGCGAGATGGACTCGGCCGACTCGGGCGTCATGAACGACATGATCCACCTCAACAACATGCTCAAGGTCAACGACGAGACCCTCTGGGCCGCCCTCGAGGACAAGGGCGTCGATCACCGGTTCTACTCGTTTCGTTGGCTCACGCTTCTGCTCTCGCAGGAGTTTCCGCTCGACCAGGTGCTACGGCTGTGGGACTCGCTGCTTGCCGACCCGTTCCGGTTCACCAAAAAGTGGTTTCTCTACCATTTTAGCGCAGCCATGCTCCTCATGCTGCGCTCGCAGCTCCTTGCCCTCGAGTTTAACGCCATTGTTCCGCTGCTCCAGTCGTATCCGCCCGAGCTGGGCGTTGAAACCCTCTTCCCGCTTGCCCTGGCCGTCCGCAAGGGCCGCTACGCCGCGCCCGACTCGTACAACCACCAGCGACTGATGGAAGGCACACTCTACCACCGCGTCTCGGCCGATGAATGGCTCTTGCAGTTTTTCCTCCTCAAGCGGTCGCGGGCCCAGCCGTGCCTCCGCCTCCTGCGCTACGACGTCGACCCGCGGTTTACCCAAGTCTCCTCGCTCGTCCTCGACTCGAACCGTTTCCGGGTCGAGGACGTGGATCCGCGCGACGGTGCCTCGCTTCTGGCTGGCATGCACGTCTTTGTCCTCGTCCAGGGTCCAAAGCGTTTCTTCTTTGCCGCACCGTCGCAGCAGGTCAAGTGGCAGTGGATGGCCGCGCTGTCGCGGGCGGGCTCGCAGGACAAGCTAGGCCTCTCAGCCGCCGAGTCGTCGTCGCCAACCCTCGTCCATGCCTCGACCATGATGGTCGACTACATCGATGCCGGCGCGTACGCCAGCGCCAGCCACGGCGCCGCCATCGTCGACCCGGACGCGCCCATCCCTATCGACGAACAGATCCACTCTAACGTCTGCACCGCCAACGACTGGTTCGAGCTCGCCCAAAACTCACCCAAGCGCATCTCGCTCGCCCCGCCCCGCAACGAACCCGAGCCCGAGCCCGAGCCCGGCTCTGATGCCGCTCCACCATCGTCTGCAACTCCGTCGGCTGCCGCCGCCCTCACGTCTCGCCTCCGCGGCTGGCTCCCGTTCTCCCAGCCGTCACGAGGCCACGTCTGATCGCTCCAGCGCCACCCACGGGTTATTGTCCACAAAGTTGGCCTTGCACACCCAGCGGTCGCACCCCCGGGTGCTTGCCGCAGCTCTCGCTCCGCTGGTCGCTCCGCCGCCGATCGGGGAACCCTCAAGCGCCGCCCACGGATCCTCCAGAAAGTTGTCCTTAAATACCCATGATCCGCCACGCCCACCGCTCCGCCGGCCCCCTCCGCCTCCACCCCTCCGCCCGCCGCCTCCACCTCTGCGTTCGCCGCTCCGCCCGCGTCCGCCACCACCTCCGCGTCCGCGCCCGCGCCCGCGTCCTCGCCCGCGCCCGCGCCCGCGCCCGCGCCCGCGCCCGCGCCCGCGCCCGCGCCCGCGTCCGTCAGCCCAACCTCCACCGCCCCAGCCTCCGCCACGCCCGCCCCGGGCATACCCACCCGGCGGGAGCCAGCCCATGGGCGGCGGTGCCCCGAACGGCGGTAGACTCGGCACCGGCCCGGGCGGGTAGCCACGACGACCAAAGGCCGGCGCATTGGCAGCGCCCGGCGGCGGCAGCACTCGCCCGCGCTTGGCAGCGCCTCCATCAGGGCGAGTTCCCCCGGCGACCGCTGTCGCTTGCCATGCATCTCGGCTGCTGCTGCTGCTACTGCTGCTGTGACTGCGGTTGACGCAGCGTCGAGTGTGAGCGCAATTCGTTCCCACAGGCCCAACTTGGGGAAGGAGTCCATCACCGCCATCGATGGAAGCAACAACTGGCTACGGCTAGGACATATGTATAACACAGCCATGGAATGTGGATGGATGGAGGACGTCCCAGAGTGGAGCAAGGATCATTGTTGTTGGTGACTCATGCTGCTGTGGGTGGGTGTCACTCACGAACCATCGAATGGATGGTCAGCGGTGGCGTGACAGCTGTGGGTGGCGGGGAGGGGCAGGGGCGGGGCTACGACGGCTGGTGGACGATGGGAGGGAGGGGGCGACGGGCGGCGGACGAAGCAACTCCTCCCCGCGTCGTGTGAGACTTCGCGGAAGGGCTGGTGGTGTGGCGTACGATCTAAGCTTGGAATCTACCTTCCCTCCATTGTAGATCATTGTGCACCTTCCACACACCACACACCACTGCTTGTTGTTGCTCTCCCCCTTACGCACGCCCCTGTTCCTCCACCTCCCGTTGCATGCACTTTGTACGTCAACTTCCACACGCTCCACAGCCGTTGCCTCGTGCATGGCCATCAGAGCGAAGCGCAAGCCATATATTCCGTGCCCTGCCGCACTATCCATCACTGTTACCATTGCTTCTGGCCTTCTACATGTGTCTCAGTCGTATAGCGCTGTGCTTGCCGGCTTTACCGCCCCTCCCCCCCCCCCCCCCTCCTTCGCCTTTTGCTCTCTCTTCCATTGCGAATGTGATCGCCACGGCCTTTTCCGTCAGCCACCCACCCCAGACATACCACCAGCCAAGCCCCCCGTGGCCGCCCTGCCCAGCCCATATGTATGCGGCACCCCCTCCCCCATCGGTTTGTATGGCGCTCATCTGGTCGATAGCGCCTTTTGTGTCTGTCCGCCGTCTAAGCTGCGGAGTTTTTTCCCGCCGCGCGGCCTTCTTGCCACCGTTCCGAACATTGGCCGCACTCCCCGCGTTCCACCGCCACCTCCCCCCCCCTTGCTCTTGCCTCTCCACCCAGCCCTCCGCCACCCCCAACCCCCTCCCCCCCACACACGCACACTCTCCCGCATCCTCCGCGAGCACATGTTCAAGGTGGTGGAGGTCCGGGTCGATGTGAATGCCCGCACCCCCACACACCCACCCCCTCCCCTCTCCCTTCTCCAACCTTCCTCTGCAACAACGTCGCTGATGCGTTGTTGGTCACAGCCGTGTTGGCTGCCACCTCGGACACACGTGCAGTGGATGAGCATGGTTGGGGGATAGTAGGATCGGGCAAGGGAAGGGGGGAAGGGAGGGGGTGCGTTGGTTGGTTGGTCCCGGCACCCACACTGCGCGTGGCTGTAGCGTTCCCCATCGCCGGGACGGGCAAGGACCAGAACGGTGGGAAGCAGCGGGGTGGGGAAGCAGATATTGGTTGTTGTGTGACTTTGTGTGGTTGTGGGTGTGCCTGTGAGTGTGCCCATGGTGGCTATGGCACAAGTCGCACTTGATGCATGTGTATGACGTGCCAATGTTCCACAATGATGCGTTTTTGAGCGACTTGATGAGGGAAGGCATTCCATAGAGTACTTACACCACTGCACTCTGCGACCACGCGACCTACGTACCGACGTGTGCGATGCGGTCACCGGATGCGGCGGATGCAGACAGGGCTATACTCTTTAACCGACCCGGATCTCTAGTCGTTGACAACTCTTGTCCTCGTCCGCACACACCGCGCCGTGGCACTCGGTCGATGTTTGCAGCGAGAGGCAACATTGATGTTCTCGCCACGTCGCAGACCGTCACACGACATGATGTGGCTCTGCCGCCAGACTCTGGCGGCAGCGTGAGCAGCGTTGAGGCGGCGCCAGCCGAGAAGCGGAGCGAGCGGACCAAGGCCCGGTCTGCCCCACTGCCGGTGGCGCGGTCCAAGTCTGGACGCTCGCTCAACGATCGTGTGCGCAACAAGCTACAACTGCAGATTCCTACCACCATTGCTGTCGAGCCCAACTACGAGGCCGAACCGCAGCCATTCAAAGCCAACTCGCGGTCTGCGCCGGTTCCGATGGTGTCGACGCCTGTGGCGGCACGGAGTGGCAACGGTGCGGGTCCCGCGCCGCGCCCTCCGCTCCTGCAGGTCAAGCATCTCGGAGCCGGCAAGGGAGCTCGTGGGCAGGCCGGCGGGAAGAGAGCAGGACTCAAGGCTGGCGGCCTCAACCTGCCAACGCTCACGACTCGCCAAGCTCAGCCGGTCCTCCCGTCGCCCACTCGCAAGTCGTCGTCGTCGCCGCAACTCTTTTCGGGCTATCGACGCGAGACTGCTGGTGTCCCTGGTGGTGCTGCCGCTGCCGGCCCACCGGCCGGTGGCGGCGGCGGCCGGCCCAAGTGCATGCCATCGACCACCTTCCATGACTTTGGTCTGCTCTCGTCGACAGTCCAAGGCCGGCAGGGCTCGCCGCCAATTGGCGACGGTGCTGCTGCTGCCATCGCGGCGAGGGCAGCTGCGCGGGAAGGCCGGTTCGACGGCGATGCATTGGCGCAGGTCCATGCCTCGCGCAAGAGCCGGAACAAGAAGAAGAAGAAGACGCGCCAGCGGTCGGATAGGGCATCATCGCACGAGCCGAGCGGCTCGTCGTCGCAGCCCTCGCCACCCACGGCCGAGCTGTCACTGTCTGGTGGCTCGTCGTCAGGCTCGCCGCCGCTGGGGAGCTCGTCACGGTCACGGTCACCGCTGCCGATCACGGCGTCGGCGTCGTCGTCGTCACATCCGGCCTCGCCTTCGCGATCGCCGCCGTCGCCATCGTCCGACCGCGAGCCAGCGCCGGCCGAGACACAGCAGCGTGTGCCTGCAGTGGCAACAACAACAGCACCAGCACCAGCGCCAGCAGCTCCCGCTGCGCCCGACAACGACGCGTTGTGGGACGCCGAGAGCGTGGCCATGCGCTCGTCAGGCCTTGTCTCGCCGCTGGTGGAGAGCGAGCGGCTCTCGCCGTCGGCCGGCTCGGGCTCGGGCTCGGGCTCGATTGTCATTTCATCAACTCAGAGCTCGGCGCTCCGGCGGCAGCGGTCGTTCTCGACCAAGACTGCGCTCATGCTCGGAGCTGTTGGCATTGCGTCGCCATCGTCTAAGATGATGTCGTCGGAGCCGCGGATGCTGAGCGAGATGGGGGGCGGGGCGTCGTTTTCGTCGCTCTCGTCGCTTGACGCGACGTCGGCGGCAGGGAGCGGGCCATGCGGAGGGCCGACCGAGTGTGCGCGGTGCGGCGAGGGAAAAGCGGCTGGAAGCGCAGTGTGCAGTGGCGAGAGTACCGCCGACGGCAAGCCGCGCGAGCTGCGCGCTGCCGAGCACATCTCGCCAACCGAGCTAGTCTCACTCATGCGACAGCTGCAAGCCGAGGGCGAAGAGTTCCGGCTGCTGCTCATTGACATGCGGTCGTTCTTCATCCACGAGCGTAACCACATTGTCGACTCGGTCAACATCTCGCTCCCGCGCGCTCTCACGTCCAAGAACATCACGCTCGACCGAGTTGAGGTTCTCATCACGTCCGAGGCCGGCAAGTCGTCGTTCCGCGATCGCGCCATGCGCACCGTGGTCATCTACGACGAGCACACCCGCGACGACGGCGAGCGGCCGGCAGACTCGCTGGTGCGACTTCTGGTCGAAGAGGGTGAGGTCGGCAACGTGTTCCTCCTTGCTGACGGCTTTGCCAACTTTGAGTCGCTGCACCCGGACATGTGCGCCAAGCAGCAGGCGACCTGGCTGGAGACGTCCTCGGACGAGGAGTCGCCAGCCTTGTCGCCATACGTGGTGCGGATGGTGGCGCCGACGGCAGCGGCTGCCTTTGCGGGCTCAACCAACTTGACGTCGTCGATGGTGGCAGCGGCCGCCGGCGCCGGCGCCGGTGGTGTGCTCGGCGGCGGCGGCGGGCGCGACTCGTGCTACCCGTCTGAGGTCATCGACGGCCTCCTGTACCTCGGCTCTGAGCGAAACGCATCCAATCTGCGATCGCTGACGCTTCTCAACGTCGAGTGCATTCTCAACATGGCCTCCGAGTGCAAGAACCACTTTCCCATGCACTTTGAGTACAAGTCAATCGACATCTTTGATGATCCCGACGTGGTCATCGACGGCTACCTCGACGACGCCGCTGGCTTTATCCACGCCGCTGTCTCGGCCGGGCGCGCCACCTTTGTGCACTGCTACATGGGCATTTCGCGCTCGGCCACGGTGACGCTTGTCTACCTCATGAAGCACCGCGGAATGACGCTGCAGGCCGCATACGACCTGCTCAAGGCGAAGCGGCCCAAGGTCTGTCCCAACTCGGGCTTTATGGCGGCCCTCATTCGCTACGAGCGCAAGCTCTTTGGCTCGGTCTCGCTCGATGCTGACGAGTACGCACCGTTTCTCGCCATGGACGCCACGGTCCCATCAACGCCGCGTGCGGCAGATGTCGACTCGCCCAAGGCCGCGTTTGCGTTTCCCGAGGTGGCCTTTGACGACGGTGACGACTCGTCGTTCTCGCCCTCGTTTGACGCCGACGCCGACGCAGAGCTCGAGCGCGCCGCCAAGTTTGAGGACGCCGCACATGCCCACATGGACAAGCGTCGCGGCGGCCGCAAGGCCCGCCGCCGCCTCCCGTCCAAGTCGACTACCATCTCAGCCGGGACCCCGGGCGGCGCGGCCTCGCGCAAGCCTCTCCCCCTCGCTGTCCCATCTCCAGCTCTCGCTCCAGCTCCAGCAGAAGTCACCGCTCCTGCGCCCGAGCCGCGGCGGCCCGCCGTCCCGCTCAAGAAGAGCTCCTCGCGCCCAAGCCTGGTAGTCGCCGCGCCGTCGTACGTTCCGCCGCCGGTTACTCCGCGCGGCGGCTCTGCTGGCGCCTTTGCCTTTGAATGATTGGCCTGCTGGTTGCCAGCTGTTCCCTTCAGCAAACACACAGACTCGTAGCCCTCGCCCGAGAACTCGCCCGCCGCCGTCCGCTGCCTCGCCCGCCGCCCGCCACTCGGCCACCGCACCATCGCGCCAACCACACTCAACTCCCCCAACAGCCCTCAACACACACACACACACACACACACACACACACACACTATGGAACAGCCCCGCCTCCAGGGCGAGCTCCCTCCTCTTCGAGTCGTTCCTGACGACGGAAAGCCAGCCTTTATTGACAACACCAACATTGGTATGCCCGCCCAGCCCAGGCCCCCCTCTCCCCCCTCCCCTCCCTCCCCCCAACCCTTCTCCTTCGCCGCCACTCACTCCCTGCGCAACATCGCGGACATCACAGGCCCCGAGGAGGTCGTTCTTCCCCTCCCGCCGCGTCCGTCTATCCTGCCATCTGCAACGGGCCACGTCCCTGTCCACAGCGCGCCTCCGCCGCATCCGTGACCATCAATCGCGCCATCGATCGTCGCCCTCGCCATGCTGTCCGTGACACAGGGCAGAAGCTTGGCGTCTGCTGCCATTTGTTGCTTGGCAGAATGAGCCGGCGACGATGAGTCACAGCTCGTCGTGGGAAGGCGTGCAGGCGGCTGCGAGCGCGGGCGCCAGCTCACGACGGGCGTGCATGGCGAGGATCTCGTGGGCGCCGCCGATGTACTTGCCACCGATAAAGACGAACGGGACCATGGGCTCGATCCCATCCTGCACAGCATCCGCCGCCGCCAGGGCCTGCTCCAGAACCTGCGCCGTCCCGCTTCCACTTGCCGGATCCAGGGCAAGGAAGGCCGGGAGACAATCGGCGGCGGCGGTGGCGGTCACCAGGCGCAGTGCCCGCAGGGTGTACCCACAGAACGAGTAGCCAGCAATCAGAACGGGGAACTCGGCAGCCCGTGTCATGATCCACGCCTCCGGCCCGCCATAGACGTCCATCGTCGCCGCCGTCGGTAGAGCCAGCGTCATTGTCGGCGGAGACTCGGCAGGTGGGTCACTTGCCACCGCCCCGGCCGCCAGCAAGCAGACCATAGCCACAGCCACCGCCCAACCCACAGACATGACCACCGCCTGTCGCAGCCGAGTCATTCCACCAGTCGGGGTGAGGATGGGGATGGGGATGGGGATGGGGGGGGGGAAGACAAGTGCTGGCCCTCCCCTGATGCCTGCAGGCAGACAGAGAGAGGCCCATGGACAGAGCAGAGCGGACAAGGTGCGATGCCATCGCTCATGGGCGCATGTGGGGGAAGGATGGTATGGTCAGCCCCTGATGAGAGGAGGTGGTGGAGCATGGTGTGAGGCATCATGGCACGGCATGGTGAGGGGCAGCACTATCAACATCACTGATCACCCATGAGCACCACCGACCTCCTCCCCCTCCCCCCACACGCACACACATCGATCACCGTCAACACCCCCATCCCACCCACCCACACACATCGATCAACGTCAACACCCCCCTCCCTTACGCCACTCTCTACCTTCTATGCTCCGTGCTGCACGTATGGCGCTCACATCCACGCCTGGGATGCTCACAGCAAGCA